AGAGAGAGAGAGAGAGAGAGAGAGGGAGAGAGAATTGTTGGGTATATTCTCACAGCAAGCTGTTGGTTGCCTTGTCTGTGTGTGTTCAGGCTAGCACCGTCCAAACAATCAATGGATGGTGTAGAGATGGTGGGACCTAAAGTTGGGTTATGTCACATTCTGTAAGTCCAACCTTTTCCAACACCATCCATCTTGATTGGATATTAACATGGCTACAATAGTAGATCAGGTAAAATCTTGTTCTACCTCATAATTTCTCATATTACTTTTTTCAAATATATATCGGTTGTGGTTTACGATTAAATTTTTGTTGGATCACTGTGCCACATCCAAAATGCATGAAAAAAATTATTGGAGAGAGAAAAATTGAAAGGGTATCAGATAGAAAGACCAAAATCCTTAAAGTTCATGAAACCATTTAAGGAATGGTGAAGACCCAATGGGCCACTAGTTGAAAAGTAGGATCAAAGCCGGATTGTGTTCAATATATCAGCAATACATCTGCTACCGTTACACAACGTACTTGTTCCCCACCCTTTTCATCTCCAAAGAAATAATTTCAAAAAAATGGTTTCAAGTCTAAAGACTACAAAAGCATGATTTAAAAATATCCAAGAGTCTTGGTTGTTCTTCTTCCATATTTCAGTGAAATCCCAACTGAACTTCTTCCCTGTTTCAGTAATTAAACTAAAGTGACCAGATATTAGTACATTTTATCCAAAATCCTGTTCTCTATTTGCATACAATATTGAACTTGAAGTTACCCCTATTATGTTTCTTCAGCATTACAATATTTGATCTCAAATCTTGGCTTCACCCTAGATCAAAGGTAATCAGAATATATTTTGAAAGGTTCACTATGATGCCATATTTGAAAATGAACAATTTTCTATTAGGAGTTGCCTCATCAGTGTCAAAGTAACTGATCCCTATGTAGCACGAGGTTACATTAGCTAAAGTTTGAATTATGAGTTGTAGGAATAAACCTACCTGGAGGCAGAGAATAAACCATGGGTACATATCAACATGAGGAAAAATGAAAGAAGCAAGACCATCAAATATCACTTATAAGTTGAGTAATAGACAATGCATATACAAAAGAGGAATATAACGAAGATAGAGGTGTCTCAAAAAAACAGACCCCCATGAATATCAATCTCAGAATAAAATAATAGACAACTAATATATACAATAGAAAATATAAATGAGAAAAAAATTATATCTGATAAAAAAAAAAGTGCTTGTAGAGGTGTCGAGTGCCCATTTGCCAATGTTTAAAAGCAGTGTTTTAAAAAACGCCGAGTCGAACTGGACTCGCCCGGTTCGACTCGAAAATCGCAAAAGTGGATCGAATCGGCTGAAAAATCGGAAATCATCCGGTTCTAGAGAGAACAGGACGATTCTGTACAGTGACTAGCCGATTCACTGTATGGAATCGGCGAGTCGGAACAGTGAATCGGCGAGTCCGTACGGATTTTTTTTTTTTGTAATCCATGATAGATTTTTTTGAATACTTGATCGATTTTTTTGTAATCCATGATCGAATTGTTTTTGTTTTTTTGTAATCCATGATCGAATTTTTTGTTTTTTTGTAACCCATGATAGAATTTTTTGTAATCCATGATCGAATTTTTTGTAATCATTGATCGAAATGTTTGTTTTTTCTCTTGTAATCCATGATAGAATTTTTTG